TATTGTAAAGGTGTTGTCAGGTAGATGTTCGTAATTTAAAGGTGATGTCAGGTAGATGTTCTTAATGTAAAGGTGTTGTCAGGTAGATGTTCTTAATGTAAAGGTGTTGTCAAGTAGATGCTCTTAATGTAAAGGTGTTGTCAGGTAGATGTTCTTGATGTAAAGGTATTGTCAAGTAAATGTTCTTAATGTAAAGGTGTCAGGTAGATGTTCTTAATGTAAAGGTGTTGTCAGGTAGATGTTCTTAATGTGAAGGTGTTGTCAGGTAGATGTTCTTGATGTAAAGGTGTTGTCAGTTATATGTTGTTAATGTAAAGGTATTGTCAAGTAGATCTTCTTAATGTTTGGTGTTGTCAGGTAGATGTTCTTAGTATAAAGATGTTGTCGAGTAGATGCTCTTAATGTAAAGGTGTTGTCAATTAGAAGCTCTTAATGTAAAGGTGTTGTCAGGTAGATGATCTTAATGTAAAGATGTTGTCAGGTAGATGTTCTTAATGTAAAGGTGTTATCAGGTACATGTTCTTAATGTAAAGGTGTTGTCAGGTAGATGTTCTTAATGTAAAGGTGTTGTCAAGTAGATGTTCATAATGTAAAGGTGTTGTCAAGTAGATCCTCTTAATGTAAGGGTGTTGTAAGGTAGATGTTCTTAATGTAAAGGTATTCTCAAGTAGATGTTCATAATTTAAAGGTGTTGTCAGGTAGATGTTCTTAATGTAAAGGATGTTGTTAAGTAGATGTTCATAATGTAAAGGTGTTGTCAAGTAGATCCTCTTAATGTAAAGGTGTTGTAAGGTAGATGTTCTTAATGTAAAGGCATTCTCAAGTAGATGTTCTTCATTTAAAGATGTTGTCAGGTAGATGTTCTTAATGTAAAGGTGTTGTCAGGTAGATGTTCTTAATGTAAAGGTATTGTCAAGTAGATGTTCTTAATGTAAAGGTGTTGTCAGGTAGATGCTCTTAATGTAAAGGTGTTGTCAGGTAGATGTTCTTAGTGTACAGATGTTGTCAGGTAGTTGTTCTTAGTGTACAGATATTGTCAGGTAAATGCTGTTAATGTAAAGGTGTTGTCAAGTAGATGTTCTTAGTGTAAAGGTGTTGTCAAGTAGATGTTCTTAATGTAAAGGTGGTATCAGGTTGATGTTCTTAATGTAAAGGTGTTATCAAGTAGATGTTCTTAATTTAAAGGTGTTGTCAGGTAGATGTTCTTAATGTAACGGTGTTGTCAGGTAGATGTTCTTAATGTAACGGTGTTGTCAGGTAGATGCTCTTAATGTAAAGGTTTTGTCAAGTAGATGTTCTTGATATGAGGTGTTGTCAGGTAGATGTTCTTAATGTAAAGGTGCTGTCAGGTAGATGTTCTTAATGTAAAGGTTTTGTCAGGTAGATGTTCTTAATGTAAAGGTGTTGTCAAGTAGATGCTCTTAATTTAAAGGTGTTGTCAAGTAGATGTTCTTAATGTAAAGGTGTTGTCAGGTTGATGTTCTTAAAGTAAAGGTGTTGTCAGGTAGAAGTTCTTAATGTAAAGGTATTGTCAAGTAGATGTTCTTAATGTAAAGGTGTTGTCAGATAGATGTTCTTTATGTAAAGGTGCTGTCAAGTAGATGTTCTTAATGTAAAGGTATTGTCAAGTAGATGTTCTTAATGTAAAGATGTTGTCAAGTAGATGTTCTTAATGTAAAGGTATTGCCAAGTAGATGTTCTTAATGTAAAGATATTGTCAAGTAGATGTTCTTAATGTAAAGGTGTTATCAAGAAGATGTTCTTAATTTAAAGGTGTTGTCAGGTAGATGATCTTAATGTAACGTTGTTGTCAGGTAGATGTTCTTAATGTAATGGTGTTGTGAAGTAGATCCTTTTAATGTAAAGGTGTTATCAGGTAGATGTTCATAATGTAAAGGTATTGTCAGGTAGATGTTCTTAATGTAAAGGTGTTGTCAGGTAGATGTTCTTAACGTAAAGGTGTTGTCAGGTAGATGTTCTTAATGTAAAGATGTTGTCAGGTAGATGTTCATAATGTACAGGTGTTGCCAAGTAGATCCTCTTAATGTAAAGGTGTTGTAAGGTAGATGTTCTTAATGTAAAAGTGTTGTCAGGTAGATGTTCTCAATGTAAAGGTGTTGTCAAGCAGATGTTCTTAATGTAAAGGTGTTGTCAGGTAGATGTTCTTAACGTAAAGGTGTTGTCAGGTAGATGTTCTTAATGTAAAGATGTTGTCACGTAGATGTTCATAATGTTCAGGTGTTGTCAGGTAGATGTCCTTAATGTAAAGTTATTGTCAAATAGATGTTCTTAATGTAAGGGTGTTGTCAGGTAGATGCTCTTAATGTAAAGGTGTTGTCAGGTAGATGTTCTTAATGTAAAGGTGTTGTCAAGTAGATGTTCTTTATGTCAAGGTGTTGTCAGGTAGATGTTCTTAATGTAAAGGTGTTGTCAGGTAGATGTTCTTAATGTAAAGGTGTTGTCAAGTAGATCTTCTTAATGGAAAGGTGTTGTCAAGTAGATGTTCTTTATGTCAAGGTGTTGTCAGGTAGATGCTCTTAATGTAAAGGTGTTGTCAGGTAGATGTTCTTAATGTAAAGGTGTTGTCAAGTAGATGTTCTTTATGTCAATGTGTTGTCAGGTAGATGTTCTTAATGTAAAGGTGTTGTCAGGTAGATGTTCTTAATGTAAAGGTGTTGTCAGGTAGGTGTTCTTTATGTCAAGGTGTTGTCAGGTAGATGTTGTTAATGTAAAGGTCTTGTCAGGTAGATGCTCCTAATGTTAAGGTGTTGTCAAGTAGATCTTCTTAATGGAAAGGTGTTGTCAGGTAGATGTTCTTAATGTAAATGTGTTGTCAGGTAGATGTTCTTAAAGTAAAGGTGATGTCAGGTAGATGTTATTAATGTAAAGATTTTGTCAGGTGGATGTTCTTAATATATAGGTGTTGTAAAGTAGATGTTCTTCATGTTTGGTGTTGTCAGGTGGATGTTCTTAGTGTAAAGGAATTGTCAGGTAGATGTTATTAATGCAAAAGTGTTGTCAGGTAGATGTTCTTAATGTAAAGGTGTTGTCAGGTAGATGTTCTTAATGTAAAGATATTCTCAAGTAGACGTTCTTCGTGTAAAGGTATTGTCAAGTAGATCTTCTTAATGTTTGGTGTTGTCAGGTAGATGTTCCTAATCTAAAGGATGTTGTCAGGTAGATGTTCTTAATGTAAAGGAGTTGTCAGGCAGATGTTCTTAATGTAAAGGTGTTGTCATGTAGATGTTCTCAATGTGCAGATGTTGTCGGGTAGATGTTCTTAATGTAAAGGTATTGTCAGGTAGATGTTCCTAATGTAAAAGTGTTGTCAGGTAGATGTTCTCAGTGAACAGATGTTGTCAGGAAGATGTTCTTATTGTAAATATGTTGTCAGGCAGATGTTCTTAGTGTACAGATGTTGTCAGGTAGATGTTCTTTATGTAAA